TCGTTTTTGCTTTCACCATTCGCTTGTCCGTTTCGTCCTTCCAGGAAACGGTGATATTCTTTCATTGGAAGACTATATGACCCACAAGGAATGCTCCGGAGTTTCGGGCGTAATGATCGCTCGGTAAGTTGTTTGTTTCCTCAGTGGAATAACACGCAGATGATAATCTTCGTCGTGGGATTTTCCCACTAAAAGCTGTTGCCAATGTATCATTCACCACCATCCCCCGACGCTCCCCTTAGAAGAAATTTTCAAGCAGAAATTACCTCCTAAAATGAAGCCGTTTTGGTTTTATTAGATGTTTATACAGTGAGAATCGTATCTACAAAGAGTGACCCAGACAGAAACACTTTCTTGGTCTTTTGCACTTATGGAAGAATAACACACTCGTTTTATGGGCCGTCAGATAAATACCAGATCCTTCAGACTACTTGTTTTCTTTATTAGATCAGATCTCCGAAAATAGGCCAATGGAACGAACACATTTCTCTCTTGTATCTTCACCCTCCCTTTCTTCGAAAAATGACGTCATAGCGAAGTTTTCACACAATTCCATTTTGACCCTATCTGTTGATTTTATGGGGGCAAATGAACTAGTGAGTGCCGCGTAAAGTTAGCCCGCCGAGTGCACTCTCCCGACGCAGCTGCTATTTGAAGGACTTTGGCATTTCACAATATATTTCAGAAATTTGAATTAGTGTGAACTCTGTAGAAATCTGATGGTTCGATTCACAAAGGGTTCTGTCGCAGAAGCAAACTAGCAAGTTTGTTCAGGACATGTACTGTGTACAGTTCAGGTCTGCTTACACTAATCTGGACCACCGAAAAACGAGGTGAATAGAGTCAAATGGAGTTCAACAGAGGTCACGAAATTCTTCTTGACTTACTTAACCTAAGTATCAATGTGTGTTTGTTGTCATTATTCACTGGATCGCACATTATGTCGTCCGTCTTGTGAAAATCCTCCTTCTGTCTGTCCATGCAAGTAAGCTATCCTAAAGGGAATTTTTACGGAATCTCCAAGTGGTTAACTTCAGGTCATTTGGTACTAGTCTACTTTGGTCGTTGCTTCGTTCGCTGGGCTATTCAACTTGGTTGCAAACGTCTCATTGCCAATCGAGGTGACATCAACAGCACGTCTTTGGAAAACGGAGCGAGGCGTATAAGTCCGTTAGTAGTTGTGCGCAGAGTGGTGATGTGCGTGTGGTCATATGCTTGCTGGCAGCGACACCGACCAACAGGGCGGTTCTACTGGTGGGTCCGTCATGTGGTGTTCTGATTTGTCAGTGTCCACGTGACCCCTGAGCTCAATCTCTTCTACCTTCATCCATCAGTCACCACCGGAGTGAGCTCTTACCCTGATCCACCCAGTATCCACGCTGAAACCTTCTCTGATGTACTCGTGGAAGTCATCATCATCATCATCGACAGCATGACATCAGTGTTCAACACCAATGCTTCACTGCCGTAGCAATTCATGGTTGTACGTGGGCTGGGATACTGCCAGGGCGCCCACACCTAGACAGGAGGAGGAGGACGATTAGGGTCCTCAACCAAAGCCTTTGGCTCAAAAGCCTAACCGCAAGGCAGCGGTGTTTGGCGGGAAATGCAAATGCATTACCATTTCTACGGAACAAGTCGCCACATGTTCCAACCCCCAACCTGGAGGGCCAGGAGACTGTGTTCGTCAGACCTCTAACCATTGACCAACCTGGTGTGAGAGACTCTGTGAGTGTCGCGGGATACTCTCCAGTATAGCTCAATGGATCGCTGAGGTGCGCAAACCGTCACACCACGGTAAGGTCCAGTCTCTTCGTGACGGGCGAATAGTTTGGGTGCTGTTGGTGTTGTGCGCCACACACACAAGGTTTTGTTGCTGTGACGACTATCCTATGCAGGCAGTATATAGGTACATTCAGTGTGGGCTACTTCGTGTCAGCAATAGTTTTAATGCCTGTGGTGGTCACCATGAGTCAATCTGAAACAAAGTTCAGGCCTGTTTACTTAACACACCCCGATAAGTTTTGATTTATTTTAGATTCCCCACAAACAGCAGCGTGTCCCAAAGTGCGATAGGGAGTTTCTGAGTAACGTTCATTATCTAACTTCTGTTTTTTTATGTCTACCCATTCTTTCCGGATACCCCTGATCTCCTTCCTTTGTTTTGTTGCAAATCCATTGTACAGGGAAGAAGCACCAGTACAATCTTCAACGCCGTGCGGTTGAACAGGCTCGAGAAGCTCCGGCGACTATGCAGCCGGAACGCATTAAGATAGAACCGAAAAAGTTCATTAAAATTGGACGGCCAGGTTACAAGGTCTGTCACCCGTGATAACATTGAAGTTTCTACTTTTATTCGATTTCAAATCGTGACTAGATGGGTTTAGACGACACGGCTGTCCGAATAATCATCATCAGAGTGAGATAGAATAAATAATTTCAGGATAATTTACCGTGCTAGTCCTGAAAAAAAGTGACATGAGTCTGCATTTTGTCAGTACTGTCCTGCAAAATTATTTACCTGAAGAGTAGAATGGGAGTTATTCGGGAGCCAGTCAACATGTGAGCACGTGGTGTGGATTCCGTGGTTGAATGATGAGTGGCATTATATCCTGCTTAGGTGCGAGGTACTCATACTCCTAATCAACTGTTCGTGGCCGAACGGTCCAGTGTTCAAACTACTCGCCTGGAGGTCGTGAGTTCGGAACTCCTTGGTGTTTTGGCATATGTGCACTGTCGATGATTCCCAGTAAGGGTGAAAGAGCCCTACCGTGCTTCTAGGCTTTTCAGCATAGATTAGCCTCACGGGGTGAAATCTCCACCAAAATTCCCACATCCTTTCGCACTCCCGACAATATATTGGTGTGTTTTACATGCATCATGGTACTGTTTCTGCACATGCCACAGTAGGTAACTGCTTTCATTCGATAGACTTCACCCATGCGTTACCCATTGCAGCACGAGAAGTTTGTATAAGATGACCACCTGTGAGGAATTTTCGTGATCCATCGGTCGGACCGACCTTTTTCGACTCTGTCGACGTGATCACATGTATCTCTAGGCGGACATCCTGGTTATAGACATTCTGAAGCTCTTCCGTAAAGTTGACTTGGTTCCTTAAAGATCGGACGATGCCACTCATCGCTTACTTCTAAAACATCCCACCTGTCCAACTATATTAAAGCCAAGTTTTATGAGCACTCAACTTCTTTTCTGATTTTTCCCCAAACACAATCTAAACAGGTTGGACTCAGTCTATCAGGGTTGACATTTGAATCACAATCATTGTTTTAAATATGGGATAAACTTATTCCGAAAATCTACGCCTTCTTTTGTCTGTCAACGGATAGGTGACGAAACAAAAAGACCCAGAGACTGGACAACAATCGATGCTTTTCCAAATCGATTATCCAGAAATAGCCGACTCTGTGGGTGTTCAGCCCAGACATCGTTTCATGTCAGCCTACGAACAAAGGGTCGAACCGCCCGATCGTCGTTGGCAGTATTTACTGTTTGCTGCTGAGCCGTACGAAACAATCGCTTTCAAAATCCCCAGTCGGGAAGTGGACAAAGATCCGAAAAAGTTGTGGACCTATTGGAATCCAAGTGTGAAACAGTTCTTTCTGCAGGTAAGCACGAATCTGACACGTGCGTATGCGATTCCCTACTGTATTCGCTCGTGAATTTTTAACACTAATGAGTTGTGTGGTTGTTATTCACCGCTCAGTTAACCAAGTACGATTGTGACTGCTTTTTCGCACAACTGTCTCCCGACTGGCATGATCCAAAGATGGTTGCAACATAAATTGAAGCAGTTAGCTCTTTTGGTTGTCTTGTTAGCGCCAGTCATTT